AAACATGGGTCGAAAAATGCTTCCTTAAGAAGTTATCGCTCAAAACCTCTGATGCAAAGGAAGAGCAAAAGGTGAAAAGAAAATGAAATAAAAAGAAAATGAAACTTAATAAATTTCTTGAAAAAAAACGATAAAAATAAAAAATAAAAATCTTTTTCTTTTATGAGAATAAAATAAATTTTTTTAAACTAAAATAGCACGTAATAGCGCATCTAACAATAAGTAACAAAAGCACTTTTTGTACGTTTGAAACTGGTTATATCAAAATCTATGGAACGTACAACAATCATTTTGATCTCATTTGAAAGATAATTTAATTTTCTACAACTTTTGTTTCGGTACTTTTTGTTAAAAGACGCACATTTCCCATGATATTTGGAAAAATGTGTAAAATAATCTCGATTTCAGAGGTTTTTGAGCGATAACTTCTTAAGAAAGCATTTTTCGACCCATGTTTATCGGAAATTTTTTGTTCAGAATTAAATTTCCTATAAGATCTCAAAGTCTGGCTGGAACGTTCGGGGCCACCCTGTATATATACATATATGCATCATATATATGATAAAGAGTATGCTAAAATAGAAATGAATAAATTGATGAATATTCACAATTTGACAATTTGTACATTTCTGGAATCGCGAAAGTAAATTGCGAAATCGAAAATTTATGCGCGAGAGTGAAGTAATAAGTTTGTAATAAGTATGACAACCGATAACGATATCATTTGTGAACTATATATAGTAGAATTTTTCACTTCATATAATTATATATTGAAAACACGTGAAATGACTCATAATGTTTTGACGGAACATACACAATCGTGATATAAGCAATCTCTCAATACGTTTACCGTCGAATTTAATCAAACCGATATACAAGGTCAGCTGATCGAAAGATACGTATCGCTTGATTGATTGTTTCAAATATTTGCACAATAGTTCTTATCGCGAAAAACACGTTTATACATTTAATATTTGTTATTATCGGCATTTACTTCCGCAAAATTCATACTCTTGTAATATTTTATAATCTTATACATTTTTTTAAATATTAGAATTATGTGTGTGTGTGTGTGTACTCTAACATTAGAATTCAGACACAATGAAAGGAATACAGATGAATTAAATCAAAAGAATTGTAAAAAGAATTAAGCCAATATAGACTCTATGCATTGAAGATTGAAATGGAAGATGATAAAATATGATCAATCAGAACAAAGAAGCTCCCTTTTAGCTCCTTTTGTTCTGATTAGTTAAATTTCAATTTTTAACATATTGACTCCTAACTATTGAAGCTATTACTTGGAAATGTGTTCAGTTTATATACGTCAAGGGTGTAACTCTGCAGCGTGATCCATTGACGGATCATATGGTTTCAGAAAACTTGAATACTGGCCTCAATGTGTGGTACAAACATACAACAATGATGGCCTAATGTGAAGTCTGATATGGATTTAATTCCTCACAATTTCTTATGTTTAATTAAGAATATTTATATAAAAATTTTTGAAATACATATAAAAGAATATATTATAGTTATAAATAACAAATGGTTAAATCGATAGTTTAATAAATAATGACGATATAGAAAAAAATTATGTTGATATAATTTAAGTTACGTGATATTATTACAATACTTCATATGCATTATAAACATGTATGGTATAATCATGGTATATTAATCACACTATATATTCATTGTAAGTTAACGTTCTTGTAGAGACGAACTTCAGGGAGTAATATTCTTTATTGAATCGCAACGGACGTTGAATAATATCATATAACATAGATATCAGATAATTTGGAAACATTATACTCTGGAAAACATAATGATATGAAGTTACTCTCAACAAGTTTCCGTGGTGTAGTGGTTATCACATCCGCCTAACACGCGGAAGGTCCCCGGTTCGATCCCGGGCGGAAACATTTTTTTGGTTTTAATTACTAAAATAAAATTGCAAATAATGATTTCATTTATTTTTGACACACACTGTACGACACAAATTTAGAAAAATGAATATGCGGAAAATATTTCTATTAAACGTTATTTCCACTCGCACAAAAATTTGAAGAACTCGGAGTTATATTCGGGATTAAAAAGCAAATAATAATATTTTCTGAAAGAGAAGATTCGCGTTGCAAAAAATAATCAAACTGATTTTTTTTTTAATAGCATTGCATCTTTTGTCTGGACGTCGAAACTGTGACGCGGTTTGAACCTTGGAATCTTATTATCACACAAAGAGATTACACGTGATTCATTCGTACTGTGTAAGTATTTGTTTAAGTCAATAAAATGATAAAATATAAACAAATGTTTATTGCTTATATCATGAAAATAGAAAGGATAAATAATAAATAATCAATCGTTGATCAGATGTAACATTGATATGATAAAAGAGAATTTTCATAAAACATCTTATAGGAATGTTTCTCTTTAAATCTGCAAATCTGTATTTTACCAGTGCATTACTTTAATCCTCAAATTTTCAAAATAGTATCATTGTTAACAGGAAAATGATACGAATATTTGAGCTCTTATCTGCTTTCGTTAAATTTATCGGTTCATGATATGTACGTGACTGACTTGTTATGAAGAAAACACGAATCTATCATATCAATTTACTGAAATTAAACTGAAGCAAAATGCAAACCAATTCTTGA